TTGTTGACTTAAAGTTCTTCACAATATTCCTTTATAATCATTTTCATGAGTGGTGATACTTTCTCTTTAGTCCATAATTTTAATCTTTTTTCTTCTCTCCTATTTTCTTGGGCATGTTATCAAATGATTTGTCATTTCATTAAATTTTTCAAAGAAACAGCAGACCTGCAGATGGGGCTCTTGGGATCCACTTGGTGTGGTATTTTATGTGCTTAGTGTTAAGTGAGCACCACAGGAAAGTCCTATCCTCAGGAATGGGGTCTTGCACCATCTTATTCTGCTCAGGGTTAGAATAATGTTGATATAAGTAGACTGCTAGCCATCTAGACGGATGCTGAGCTGACTCACATCTGAGTCTAACAGCATCAAGGGTCCATGGAGGCTCAGACACTTCAGGGCCCATGTATCCGTAATACATGACAAAATACAAGTGTGCCACACTGATGTGTATGTACCTAGAAAATTGTAGAGCTCCCATCTGTGAGTGTCGGCCTGCTGTTGGCTGTGGTATCCAAAGTTTGGGTATAGTTACTAGAAATAGTTCCTTGGCCACTAAAATTGATTCTAAGGTGAGTCATAGCTGAACCTCAAAGTTGTCAGGACTTGTCCAATCCAGAAAGTTGAGTGAGAGTACCCCATTTCCACACTCATACAGTGGAAACTTGGGTATCTTTCATAAAGTCTACAGCTGATGTGGGTGGGGATGCACTTAGAAGGTGTGTCTGAGCTTCGGACTGCTTGGAGCCTTTAGTTTCTACCAAGTGCTGGCTTTCACCATGATGGTCTTGGCGTGGAACTCTGAGAAAAAGCTCTGTTCAGCTTTCATGTCAGTAGGTAGAGTTCTACTGTTTACTGTGCCTGCTGAGGATGGAGGCAGGGTTTTGGGAGTAGCCTCTACCTCAGAGCCTAATGTCATTCTCACGACTCAGTACACAGATACTGGCCTAAAGGTAGAAAGAAGCCCTGCACTAGATTTGACTGTGGCAGGCCTAGATTAAATTCTCTATCCAGGCTAATCTTCCTGGAGATGGTGAAGAAGTATCTTTTTGCCTTTTTTATAGCTATTCATTATGATGTATTTGTAGCGGGAAATTGCTAAATGTTATCTGCCAACTGGCAACTCTATTTTTATTAATTTTTTTTGAGATAGGGTCTCACTCTGCAGCCTTGGCTGGTCTGAAACTCAGTATGAAAATTGGGTTGGCCTCAAACTCGCAGAGATCTGCATCTCTCTGATTCCTGAGTGCTGGGATTAAAAATTTGTGCCACCTCACCTGACTCCAACCACCTTTTTAAATAGTTCCTAGGGTTTTTGCTTTTATTGATCTCTCCTGAGAACCCAGAGTGTTGCCTGGCTCATAGTGGTTATTGAATAAGTATTTTTAAGTATATACTTTAGAATGCTCATACAGCTCCCATGGTTCTGTAGCCTCGCTGATATGGTATTGGCATGATTGTATATACTGTCAAACATCAGATATTTTTCTATGGCTCTCGCTCCTCATCTGACTTGCTGCATTTCACCAAACTCTAATATGATCAAATACTTTTTATATATCTATTAGCTATGTGGCTTTTTTCTCTTTTATGGAGGATTCATCAATCTTGTGCTCATTTTCCTCTTGGTTGCCCATCTCTGTTTCTTACAGATATATGAAACTTTATTGATCCAGCATTCACACTCTGTAATAGTTATCTATGTAGTAAATATCTTATCCTGTGATTTTTTTTGTCTATTTATGGCTTTTATTTTTATTCATTGGGTGCCTTGTGCCATAGCATATGTGTAGAAATCAGACTACAACTTGTAGGGAATTAGTTCTCTCCTTCCCTATGTGGGCCCAAGGTATTGAACTCAGGTTTTGTGGCAAGTGCCTTTATCCACTGAGCCATTTTGTTGATACACTTTATGACACTTTTCAAGAACAGGATTTTTTTTTATTTTATTGAAGCTATATTGGGTGGTCATTTCCTTAATAACTACACCTTTTGTACCCTTTTTAAAATATAGTATTTTCGCCGGGCGATGGTGGCGCACGCCTTTAATCCCAGCACTCGGGAGGCAGAGGCAGGCGGATCTCTGTGAGTTTGAGGCCAGCCTGGTCTACAGAGCTAGTTCCAGAACAGGCTCCAAAGCCACAGAGAAACCCTGTCTCAAAAAAACCAAAAAAAATAAAAAATAAAAATATAGTATTTTTAGTTTTTGAAATTAAAGTATAATTGTATTTTCCCCCTTCCCTTTCCTCCTTCCAGCCCTTCCTAGTATTTGCCTTTTGCTCGCTCTCAAATTTATGACTTCTTTTTCTTGAGTCCACCTTTTGTATCTTAAGATATAAATACTCTTATGCATTGCTGGTAGAAATACAGAAGAGTACAACTCATGCAGGGTGAAATTTATATATAAAAATTACATCAGCATTTACTCCGTCTCGGCAATTTCATTTCTTAGAATTTATTTGAAATAAATGTTTGAAAAATACCAAATTTTAAATATATATATTAAACACACATGGCTAACTTTTAGGGCTTAGTTCAAAATAGCATAAGACTTGATATAAGACCAGTATTTCAGTGTTTGTTAGTAGCAGAGTATCTGAATAACTATTGTACAGTGAAGTATTGTATAAAAACAGTAGTTTTTACATTAATATGGAAGTATTTATGGGATATATTATTAAATCCAAAAAAGAAAGTTTCAGGCCATTATTTATATAGGAGAAAGGTATAACTAATGAATTCCATTTATTATGTATATATTATATACATATATATAAAGGAAATACTGGAACTGTAAGTCAAACTTAAGAAGAAATACTATTTATGGGGAAGGAAGGGAAAGAAATGAAGGGGTCAGAGATGGAATGATACTTCTGTAAAGGTGCTGTATAAATCTTTTCACTTTAGAGCCATATACATGTTTTGCATGATTACAAATGTAATAAAAACTATAATCAAAAAGGAAAGAGGGCTGGGGGTGTAGTTTACAATTGGGTGCTTACTTAGCATGCACTAAGCCCTGGATTCAAACCTTAGGATCACATATACATAAAACTCAAGAAAGAATAAATCCATAAAATTAAAAACCTGAAGCAAATGATAAACATAGTTGATGGCATAACCACTCAGAGAAAATAATTACTGTAGTGACTTTGAAGTAATACATATCTATTACTAACAATATATAATCTAAGGACTGCAAAAATATAAAGGTATATTCAATCATTTTATTGTTGTTAGACATATTAGTATTGGTCGTGGAATTTTTCAATTCTGTGAATATGTTGTTAGAGAAAGCTAATAATAAAGCACTTTGGTAGTATTATTAGGATGTGAGGAACTGGTGATGAAGTTCTTGCCTAGAAGGCAAGCAGCCTTGGGTTTGCTCCCCAGGTCTCCCCAAAACAACTGTCCAAACAAAATAAAAGAGATGCAGGTCTAAAACCAGAGTTAAATAGAAACCTTGTCATAGTAAATTTGAATTGGAAATGTTCTTATAAATTTAAGATCAATTTTTCCCCTATAAAATAGCCTAGCTTTGCCTACTATAAAGGCTGAGAAGCAACAATGAACAATAGTAGTTTCCAAGTACTTTTCATTGAAAGGAACCGGGTAACATTGGGAAAATAGTCAAGGTTCAAGTTAGAAAATGTACAAGATAAGCTTGGGATAGCTTTCTGTTCCAGAAAATCAGAAAGCAAACTAGAAGCTGGTTTAAAGGACTTCTTATGGGTTCTAAGTGGGACTGCAAATAATCACTATATGTATTGAAATGCATATATTCTATAAAAATATGTGATTTCATAAGTTACTGCAGATAACCACTGGTTACCATTAGGTATTTCTAAAGTAATAGTTTCTTATTGTCATAAATAATGAAGAACCGATGGAATCAAGCATTTATGTGCTTTTCTTATATAAACTATACTCAGGAAAACTAAAAGGTTGATGATTAAAACTACAAAAGAAATAATAGAGTCAGGGAAGGCCCGTTTTGTAATTTGTATAAGTTAATAGATCTAAACAATAATCACCAATCATTATAAAGCCCATTAGGTAAAAGTTTAATAATAATTGAGGATGTGACAAACACCACTTAAATTCACAAATTAATTTCAACATTACTAAAAATGTGCAAGTGAACATTATGTACCTTTGGACATGGTACAATAGGAAATATACGCTTAGATATGGAAATTTTTACATTAAATGTTGAACATGAATCTAATTAAATTTTTACAGAAACAGTCTTTAATATAACTTTCTAGGATATTCTAAATGATCTTGATCTGTTCTGGATAATTTGGTATCTATGAGCAAATACACACTAGGTATTTGAAATGCACCAAATTTGACCCAAATTGATAAAAAAAAAGTACATACAAGTGATAAGTGATCAATGACAACTGTATTAGACTAGATTTGACTGTCAAGAAATTTTGAACAAGTTATCATCAAAAACATTTTATTAAATCAATTTGTTCACCAAACAGATAATGGTTATATAATATCAATAGATGGAGAAGAAAAGTTAATGAAGAGATGGAACAGAAAAATGATTTAAAAGTTGTAATAGCCAAAAACCGATTTAGATCTTGATTAAATAACCAAGTATTTAAAAAGTCACTGAAATAATCAGTCATTCAAATATAAATCTGGAATTACTAAGTTAATGACTATGAAAATGGCATTCTGGTACTACTCAAATGTCCTTTTGAGTTAGAGGTATGTATACTTGGATGAGCTTGAGGTTTCTGGGTACCTTCCTTACTTTGACCTTGTGCAAGATGCAGTTTTAAGATCCATGCACACTTACATGTACATGCATCTGCATGTGTGTGCGTGCACACACATACACACACACACACACTTGCTACATGTTATAAAAACCTTTCCTAAACTAGGTTCTGTATCTGAGATCCAGAGTTTATTTTTTATTAACTTTTAAAAGGTTGTACTGGGGAGGCTTTGTAGAACTTCCATATCTCTTTGTCTTGATCCAGATGAACCCCCAAAGAAGAACAAAGGTGATCCCATGAACAACCTGGAAAGTTTTTACCACGAGACTATAATGAAAAAGCGTCTTGAAGAGTTCCAACTTATGAGAGGTGAACCCTTTGCTTCCCACTCACTGGTCTCAGCTACATCAGTGGGTGATAGTGGCACAGCTGAGAACCCATCACTCCTCCAGGACAAGGGAAAGCAGGCAGCACAGGGTAAAGGCCCCAGTCTCCATGTGGCAAAAGTTATTGATTTTCCACCTGAGCAGTGTTGGACTGGGCCTAAGAAGCTGACGCAACCAATAGAATTTATCCCTGAAGATGAGATCCAGAGAAACCGTTTATCAGAGGAGGAGATCCGAAACATCCCTATGTTTTCTTCATATAACCCAGGGGAACCAAACAAGGTATAGGCCAAATCGAGAACACAACATGGGTTGTTCTCACTTTATTTACCTCTACCTAACAGGGCATTTTTAAATTACCTTTGATTCTGCCAAAGATTATGACATAGGTATTCTGTTTGTCCTTAACCATCATTTTCCGCATACTATTTAAGTAACCTATTTCCTACCATGTTATGTGTGCCTTTCTTAGGTTCTAAAGTCTCCTCAGAATTTTTAAGTAAAAATGAGATTTAGCTCCTATCCACTAAAAGCTCTAAATTATAGGAAAAGTAACCACATATTTCCTAATGATTGACTACCTGGTTGTGGGTTCTGTTAAAAACAAAAATTCCTAAAGCATTCATTTTTGTCCAATTTAAGAAAACAGAGTGAAGAATAATGTTCCCCGTTTTTAAAAACTGGATGGAGGGATACTGAAGTACTTGAACTGCCTTTCTGTTATGTTATTCCTGTTCCAAGGGTAGCTTGACCTTCATTTACTTTTTGTCATGAACTATTACTAACATGTCAAACAATAAATAATATTCCCATGGATAAATTGGGAATATCTGCATACTTAGCTAGCCATGTTTACTAAGACTTAATTTTCATATTTGCTTAGTTTTAAAAAATAAGAAAAGTATTATGAATGTACCTGAAGAATTTCGTGTATTCTTCATCAATCCCATTCTTTCTTTCTAGTTTTAACCACTATTTTGAATTTGCTAGTTCTCTTCCTGGGAACATTTTTACCTATTTACTACATAAATGGTATATAACTGTCCCTAACTAATAATAGCTAAGTTTACTTTCTTTTACATGATTATATGTGAAAAATATGCATTCAGTAGAACCTATACTCTGAATTTTGAATTTGTATTTTTGTCAAACAGGCAATATACATTATGGTGTTATGGTACTTTATTGAGATGCTGGGCAGCCATAATGACCCACAGCTCACAGTCAGTCAGCTCCGTGTCATAAGTAGAAACCATTGACACTCTGGAGTACCAGGTTGCTAAAGTGCAGTGTTCCATAGATTATATATATTAAGTACATTTCTAAGGATATTATCAACTTACAAAGGATTTATCAAAATATAACCCTATCTTTTTTTTCTTTTTCTTTTTTTTTTTTTTTTTTTTTGGTTTTTCGAGACAGGGTTTCTCTGTGGCTTTGGAGCCTGTCCTGGAACTAGCTCTGTAGACCAGGCTGGCCTCGAACTCACAGAGATCCGCCTGCCTCTGCCTCCCGAGTGCTGGGATTAAAGGCGTGCGCCACCACCGCCCAGCCTTTTTTTTTTTTTAATAACCCTATCTTAACCCCAGGTACTTCTTAGCTATCCATAAATATTTATAGATATCCATAGATACAGTTTTATACAGTTTAAAACTGTTACTATTTTTACTCAATATACCCAATATTTTAAAATTGTATTTCTAATGATACAAGGAACAATTTAGTAATCCACAATAGAAATATGATATAATTAATTTTCCATTTTTAAAATTTATTTTCCCCCATTACTTTACTGCTACAGATCAAGCATTGTTATGTATATTGTCGGTTTTCCACAGTACTAGAAATTGAACCTAACATCTTGGGAATACTAGGCAAATTCTTTACCCTTGAGCTATTTCCATAGACTTCTTTTTCACTTAATATTGAGACAGAATTTCACTAATTGCATGGACTATCCTTGAACTCAATCTGTAGTCCAAGTAATCATGAACTTGTGATCTCCCTGCCTTGGCCTCCTAAATAATTGAGATTCTAGACATAAATCACCAGGCCTGGCTTGTACACATCTCTTACTGCCCATGTACAAACATTCCTCCTAGACAATATTTTTTCAAGCTTAAGTTATGATTCATAGGTTACACCAGCAAGGCTTTATTTTTAAGGAAATGAATAGAAGAATAGAATAGATCAAAGTGTACCCCATACAGTTGTATTCCCCACAGTTAAGCACTGTTTCTTAAAAGTTATATTTTTTGTTCATGCAAAGTGTGAGAGAGTAGAAAAAAGGAATGGTACATATGGGCTATAGTGTTTAATGTAGTTCTTCCTGTAGATCTCAGGCAAAATATTGAGCAATATATCCTTCTCTTATATTTCACACATTTTAGTGTACATAGAAAACACCTAAAGAAGTTATTAAGACAGGTTGCTGGCCTTCACCACCAGGTTTTTGACTTAGTGGATCTGGAAAAGGGTATGAAAATTTGCATTTCCAATGTGTTCCCAGGAAATACTAACAGTTTTGGTCTAAGAATGGAATTTCTTGGTTGCATACCAAGGAATGAAATTACTGATACAGGATATCCATATCTTCCACTTGTACCAAGGAGTATTTTAGAAATTTCCTTCACATCTTTGACAAAACTTTCTATTAGACTTTTAACTTTACTTAAGAGTTCAGAAAGGTAATTTATTTTTAAATTTGCATATTCCTATTTTCCAGTAAAGATGTACATGTATTTTTATATTAATTATTCCTTCTACTCTCTGAGTTAGCTTTCTGTTCCTTTGCCCATAATTAGATATGTTTGCCTTCTTATTTTTAATGATTACTTTTCATTTTTTAAAGATTTCTTTTTATTGTGTGTGTCACATGTGTGAGAAGAACAAAGAAGAGAGTTATTTGGACTGCTAATTTCTGAGTATTTCCTGACTAGTAGCCATACATTCATGAGAATATTAGCAAGATAAATACCAAAAACTACGTCTAAGCTAACATATTCAAACTATAGAAAAGCAAAAAGAATGAATGCTTTAGATAGGATCAAAGAGAATTACATCAGACGTATCACAAGGCAACACAAGCAAGAAAAGAATGGAATGAAATATTTATGTTTAGAGAGAAAAAAACCCCACCCGCCCAGAAGTCTATCCAGAAAACATCCTTTTGATACAGACGAAGCAAACTAACAGTTCTTGGACAATCAGGATATAGAGAATTTGTCACAATAAAATTATTCTCTTGGGCTAGAAAGATGGCTCAGCGGTTAAGAGCTCTGACTGCTCATCTAGAGGTCATGAGTTCAATTCCCAGCAACTACATGGTGACTCACCACCATCTGTAATGTGATCTGGCGCCCTCTTCTGGTCTGAAGGCATACATGCAGACAGAACACTGTATACATAATAAGTAAATAAAAAAAATTATTCTCCTAAATCTAGGGAAATTAGATAGCTTAATAATTCAGATTTATGTAAAGGAAGAACATAGAGGAAAGAATACACGTAGATAAAATAATGTGATTTTTTTTATTCTGTAAAACAGAAGCAGAGAGAATACATTTTGTGAGATGACACATAGGTTATTACAGAAACCAGTTAAAAATATTACAATAAAAGAAAATTACAACCTCTTGTTTTGTGCATAGAAGCAAAAGTCCTAAATCAAAGCATTTTGAGTGTCATAATGAAGTCTATTATTATACATAGAAACCTCAAAATTAGGTCCACAGAAATTACTGAATTGAATTTTTACAAAGCAAATTCAATGCAGAAATGATAATCTTTTCTATACAAATGATACTAGAACAACTGGCTATCCAAATTCAAAACTAGACACAAACCTTTCCTCCATCATAAAAAATTAATTAAAAATACGTGATAGGCCCATGCAGGAAACAATAAATGTTCCAAAATATTTAGAAGAAAACGGGCATAAAATCTAAGTGGCCTTATCTTTGCTGTATTTTTCATCAAAAAACACAATTTGTATTAAAAATGATAAATTATACTTTGTTCAAATTGCAAATTTTTCTGTGAAAGACATGTTAGAAATATACAGAAGATATATCGTAGATTGAAAGACATATTTCACAGCACATGCATATCTAACAAAAGACCTACATCTACAATATACAAAGAACTCCTAAAACTTGACAGTAGTAAATGAACAACTCAATTTAAAAAATGGTCAAAGTATAAAACTAGATGGCTCATCAAAGAAGATTCATCAAGGAATTGCAAATGAAATAATGAGATGTTATTATTAAGCATGCACTAAAATTAATGACAAAACTGATTTTATGTGTATATATATATTTATACATATATAAGGGCATATGAATGTTTGCAATGACTTTATTCATTATTGCCAAAAACTAGAACCAATCAAAATGTCCTCCAAATGGATGCATTTAGCAGATGGATGCAATGAAATGTAATTTAGCAACAAAAATAATTGAGCTATCAAACCATATAAAGACATAAACAAACTTTAGATGCATTTAATAAACAAAAGATGCTACTATGTAAATAAAGCATTTCATTATTTTGTAATCTGGAAAACTCAGAATGACAGAGGCATCAAAACAATAGTTAATTATCAAAAGTTGGGTGAAAGGAGAGAAAAAGTGAAGTTTAAAGCATTTTTAGGTGATAATGAAATGGTGAAGGCAAGGTGTATGTTCAAGAGACTATATAAAACTACACAGTACAAAGAGACTCTTACTGTGCACAAGTATTTAAAAGTCGTTTCAGAGATTAGAAAATTTCAGAAAAGAGTAAATACTATGATAAGAGTATATAAAACAGTAAAAAGTGTATATAAATCACTAAAAAGATAGGAGGAAAGGTACTGACCTAACTAGCTTTGGAAATGTGTAATTTGCGAGACTAGCAGCAAATAGGAACTGTACATAAACACCACACCCGGGTTGCCAAGGTTGTGTTTCCTGGTTAACAATGCTGATACTGCTGTGCACACATCTTTAAGTAAATGGTTGGCAGATAGTAGGCGCAGGTTTTCACAGTTGGAATTTGGAGATAATTAAATTAAAATGATCCATGCAGTAGTAGCTTAAATTTGGGAGTATCACTGTGGATTAAACTTAATCCAGACACGTGTCGTTTACATGTAGTAGAAATATTTGTCTGCATTTATACACAGGTTAGTATTAGCATGGCAAGCCCCCAATGAATCAAACTTGCCCTTGCTCAGGATGGATTACTTCTCATACCATTCTCTGCCAAATGTAACAAGAGATCTTCAGAGAAGGAAATGGCTGGTCCTATTACTCAGGCAGGAAATACACAAGATTAGCCTTTAGTACTTTTGTACCCAAAGGTAAAATAGCAGCATAAAACACAGGAACTGATGGATAACTCTAATAATCAAAGCTAGAACTCTCTGTGCAACAAACTAAACAACTTTAACTTTCAATAATGATTCAAAATATAGACTAACCTTATCTTGTACAGGTTCTGAGAATTAAAAACTTGAGGAAGGAAGTAGAGTAGAGATAAATCTTAGGAATTTAATTCCCTGCTGCTTGGTTCTGAGTGGCTTGTGTTGACCTGTTTCCCAAGAGTACTATGGAAAGGAAGACACGCAGTTAATGGAGGAAGCTGACCAGCACTCCCTCAGGCAGGAAATGAAAGCAAATATCAGCAGTCACAAATCAGTGTTGTTAGCATTTCTGCTGTATACAGTGTGACCAAAACTCAACTCTGCCAATGTAGTTTTCTTCCCAATAACTCATCATCACTCTAGTCTAACATCAAGAAAAACAACAGGTAAAACGTAGTAATGGGCTATTTTATAAAAACCAAATCTAACCAGTATTACTACAATTTTCATAATCATGAATAATAAGGAAAATCTGAAACATTGTCAAGAGGAGCTTAAAGATACATGACAGCTACATGAAAGGTAGTAGTCTAGATGGTGTCTTAAACAGAAAAATAACATTAGGTAGAAACTAAGGAAATGTAAATAAAGAATGGACTCTTGTTAATAATGTAACAGCACTAGTTTATTAATAAAATGAATATAACATATAAATGTAAGATATTTATTAAGTCAGAAACTGGATATGAAGCATAAAGATATTATACTTAAGCTTGGAAAAAATCAAATCAAATTTGTAAGTCTTTTTATAAGTTACAAATAAATTCAGAGAGTATAAACTATATAAAGTTCAAAATATGCAATCAAAACGAAATATCACACAGTGCTAGCAGAAGGTTCTGTTCTTCTGTTTCACAATCATGCTTGTCTTATTTTAGGGCCTCCCAATATCTGTATGTCTATATATGCACGTGCTGTAAAGACATATGTATGTTTTAGATACACACATAGATATATCTGTATATATAAGGATGTGTGTATACTTTTGCAGCAGAGAACATAGAACCAAGAAAGAACAACCTCTTGACCAGAAGTTCTTTTTAAAAAAAATAAACAAGCAAAAAAAAAAAAACCCACAACAACAACCAAAAAAACCTTTTTATCATGTGGCTTGGGAGGTGACTCAGCAGTGAGGGTACTGGTTTGTTTTGTTTTGTTTTTTTTTCCCCAGAGGACCCAGATTTGATTCCCAGCATCTGCCTGATGAACTGTTTGCAACCCCAATTCCAGGGACTCTTCCGCCCTTTCTGGTATCCACAGGCACTGCATGTACATGGCACACAGACTTATATGCAGGCAAAACACTCATGCACATAATATTTTTAAATACTGAAAAATAAAAAAAAATATATGAGAAGAAACAGTCAGTATGGATCTTTTCTAATTGTAGAGAAAGTTGGGATCTGTTCTCACATACTCCCTTCCCAGTTTTTAAAACCTGTTAAAATGATTTTTATTGAAAATAATCTTTTTCTTTTTTTAATATTTATTTATTTATTATATACACGATATTCTGTCTGCATGTATGCCTACAGGCCAGAAGAGGACACCAGACCTCATTACAGATGGTTGTGAGCCACCATGTGGATGCTGGGAATTGAACTCAGGACCTTTGGAAGAGCAGGCAATGCTCTTAACCACTGAGCCATCTCTCCAGCCCAATCTTTTTCATATAAGATATTTTGATCACAGTTTTTCCTCTCTCATGTCGTCCCAGATCCTCCCCACCCATCCAACTCCACGACTTCTCTCTCTCTCTCTCTCTCTCTCTCTCTCTCTCTCTCTCTGAAACAAACAGGCAAATAAACCAAAGGAAAAGATAAGGCACAAAAACATGCATACAGAGACACATACATCCTACACAAAAAATAAAACCCATAAAAACACAAAATCAGAAGCCACAGTATATAAGCAAAAGACCAGTAAGATTTTTTTTTAATGCCCAGACAAAGCAATGTGGGACAAAAAATTAAAAGTACCATTGCATTTGTTTTGTGTTGACGGTCTCCTGCTATGTATTGGACTTAATCTTAAATCTTACACTGCTTTCTAAGGTTAAGTGGTAAAGATTCTACTATTTAGTAACTTTAATGATGTTTAATGTATTTCTCCATATATTTCAGTGACTATATCAGTCATTTCCTGACTGTTGTCTTTTCTGTTCTAGTGTGAATTCTTTCCTGATTTTTAAAGCAAAAACTTTGTTAAATTACTTTTCCCTCTTTCATCCTTTTTGTATTGTTGTTAAATAATACATTGGATCTACCTTCCTAGGAAAAATATAAGTACCCAAAGCAGTATTGTTGGCTTTAGCATGATGTTGTATCGCAGGTTTGTAGGGATTTCTCATCTTCCATGACTGAAGCAACTTCCTCATTTTTCCCTTACAGTAACTTACCGTCATTATACTTTTAGCTTCAATGAGCTGGACTACTTTAAAATGCTTTGTCTAAGTAAAATAATATAATATTTGTCCTCCTGTTACCTAGTATATACTCCTAAAAGTTTATCTGTGTCATAGCATTTGATAGTGTTAATGGAAAGCAAAAAAACCTCAACTTTTACCTTAAAAAGAATAAGAGATAGTTTATTCTTGAGCCAAATATCAGTGACTATGACCTGGTAATGCAAATTTAGATTACCCACAATCCATGCTGCAAGATGGTAACAGTTTCATGACTTTTTATAGTAACAGAAGAACAAAGAAAATCATAAATCAAGGTACTTGCAAGTACATTGGTGGAAACATCAGGTAGGTGGGTTACAGCCAAGTGGAGAAATCTCTGCTATAGGCCTCATATATGCTTCCTGATGATATTCTTAGCATTTGGGTATGTGGAAGCTAGTGATCTGTTCATACATTTCACAAGATTTCACTTGTCAATGACAAGCATGTTGGGTCAGACTCAGGGGGGCAAGGAATAGATATTAAGAAGGGTGGCTAAAAAGATAGCTCAAGATAATTAATTATAATTAGGCCCTCTGCCTGCATCATCCAAACCTACCCACAGGCATTGAAGTTCTAGTTAGTTTTTAGCGTTTTATGGGATTCAGCATAATGTATGGTTTCTTTCCAGAAAATCTCATTCACAATAGGTTTTTTTTCCTTTTAAGGATTAAATAATATTCCAGTCTATATATATGCTACCCTTTCTTTCAATAGCATCCTATTACTAATTGATAGAATAGTATCCTGAGGGTATTAGTCACAGGTTGGTTTTTTTGTTGTTTAATTCTGTTTTCTTCATGGTCTCTGTTTTCGCTCATTTGTTTTTGTTGCCCCTGTTTTCTATCCTCCACATTAGAAGCTTTTCTAATTTGCCTGATAATCACTATCCTTATTTCTGGCTGTAAAGTTGTTCAGAAGCTCTGAGATCATGGTCTTTGTGTAATTTGAATTCACGGTGATATTTTATAATCCTTGCACTTAGGAGGCTGAAGCAGGAGGTTTGTGAGTCTTAGACCAGCCTGGGGTATTAATGAGACTTGTCTCCAAATGACAATAACAAAATAGTAATAACAATGACCCAGACAATCTGGCTGAATCACTTGTTGAAGAACGCTGCTATTCTAAGTCAGTTTTTTTGTCTTTCTTTGGCATCAGTGCCCCTAAAGGAGACTGTCCCCTGTGCTTTCTTGCAAAGGAACTACCAGTGTTCTGGTAGAGGAATGTTGGTCAGATCATGGGTTTCCCAGTGTTTGGTATGCATTCTTTCAGTCTTGCTTTCAGAAAATACTTCTCTTGACCTCAGCTATACAAGACATTCCACGATTTCTGACAATTAACCTTCAATATACTACCAGGATTGGTGAGTTTCCCTCAGCCAGTACTATAATTGCAGAGGGGGTAAAGATCTAATTTATTTTACAACAGCTTTCAGCTTCCCATCTTCATTTTAACCCTATCTAATGACATCTATTTCCCGAGCCACCCAAAGCTATCAATTCTTGAAGCGTTTGTGCATGTGTTTGGTTTTTCCTTTTTGTATATTTATTTAATTTTTAGACAGGATGTCACTGTGTTGCCCAGACTGGACTCTTCTCCCAACTCCATCTCCCTAGTTGGTAGAACTGTAGGTTCTTATCACTGTGACAACTTTGAAAACTTGTGTGTGTGTCGTATGTGTGAGGATTATGTATATGTGTATGTGTGTGTACATACACACATAGAGGCCACAGGTCAATGTCACGTGTCTTCCTCTAGTTCTCTCCATCTTTTTGCAATAGGGTCTCATTGAGTTTAGAAATTATCAACTAGCTAGACTGGTTTGGGGATCCACCCAGCTTTTTACATGGGTACCAGGGATTTAAAATCAGGTCCACATGTTTGTGCACACTTGTATCCACTGAGCCACCTCCCTAACCCACATACGACTTTTGAAGACTTTTAAAGAAGATTGAATGTCTGATTTTTTTTTTTTTTGCCCTAAGGCTTTGCTAGTGAGCTTTTTTAGTGTGCTTCATTCCTACTCATTCATTTTTATATCTTCCAGAACTTTGTTGCTGAGTTCTTTCTGTCCTGTTGGTTTCAGGCCTTTAGTTTTAGAGTTTAACATGGAGAGAAGAACAGATAAATGTTCAGTCTCCCATCGGAGAGTAATTCAAGTCATAATGCAAGAGTTGCTTTCTTTCTGTGATATTTTTGTCACTTTTCAATTTGTATTAGGTGCTATACCTGAAGAACCTTAGTCCTCGGGTGAAAGAAAGGGACCTTATCTCATTATTCGCTCGCTTCCAGGAGAAAAAAGGACCACCCATTCAGTTCCAAATAATGACTGGACGCATGAGAGGGCAGGCTTTCATCACCTTTCCCAGTAAGTAGCTTCATCTAGATAATCACTCCAGTGCACCATCAGTTCACGCGAGGCTAACATATTACCTTGCTGAGTTAGATATAGCCTTAGCACATAGAAGGGGGCCAGTAAGGAAAATACATTTCCAGTATTCCTAGCTCCTCCTTGCTCTACTTAATTCCTCTTCTCTATCGGTATTGTATGACCACCTTACCCCGGTGTCCTCTATTTCCCAACTTTTGACATTTCCTTTCTACCCTACCAATATTTATTTTCTTTATATTGATAGTACTATTTCTACTCTATAACAGAATTATTCATAGTTAATATGTTTGCATTGTTATCAGAAGACATATACTCATGTCTTATTCCTTTAGAACTAACTAAGTGATTTTAAGCTCATTAATTCATTACCAATTCATAATTATTGAAAGATGATACCTTCTTCCAAATATCACTTGCATGTTAGTGCATGGCTTGTGTTCTAATCTAAGTGCAAGAATAATACAGTAATTTTTATTTCAATAATAAATTGGCCAGTATGTTTTTTTGTGGAAAGACGCTAGATAGGATCTGTTCCTTTCATTGTCCCTAACTTGACATTTTGACACTTGGCTAATTTTTATGTGGGCAAGTGATTTTACACATTAAAAATGCTGATCTCCTTTCTGTTGCTTTCATATAACCTTGTACTATTTTTTCTGTCTCATTAAAGGTTTGTAGATTCTTTGTAGCATTAGTTTTTAATCCTTTGAAGTGAGAATTCCTATTAAATTTTTAAAAATTTCAAGGATTAAAAAAATAAAAAAATTTCAAGGATTTTCACAGAATATATATAACCTACTAATTGAAAGATTCATAATACAAAGGCTTTATATTAATTTGTGTACATGTTTATATAGTGTGTGTATATGCACATGTATAAGCATGTATGTAGAGGCCAGAAGCTAACCTATAGGATCTTCCCTAGTTGCTCTTCCACCTTAATTTTCTCACTGACCTGAAGCTCATTGATATGGCTAGGCTGGCTGGCCAGTGAGCTACAAGGGACTACCTCCCGAGTTTTAGGGTTGCCGATACATGCTTCCATACCTGGAGTTTTATATGGGACCAGGGACCCAAACAAGTGCTCGTGCTTACATGGCAAGCTTTTTGCTACCAGAGCCATGTTCCCAGTCCCAGTTTTACACTTCTTAATTTGTGGCTTTTTTACTAATCCTAACCGCTATAGTACACACTTGACAATTTGTGGGATGTCTCAGACAAAATGATCTCAGTATTGTCTGCTTATAATTCCACAGACTCTTGTCCATAGTCTACCCCTCCTTATTTCTTACATATAGTCTCTGAGACCCATATGTTAAATATTCCTGCTATGCACTATATATTCTCATACACAAATTTTCTGTATATCCTAAGAGAAATTCATTATCCCAATAAGGAGTCCCATAACCACTTTCCCTATAAAAGAAAAAAGTAGCTAAGTATGTTCAATAATGTAATAACTTCTTTTATTTGTGTAACAATTTTGAAAAATTTGCTTGCATATCCATAATCTATCTAGAGGCATGTTTACAATTATGTTTAACTTATATTTCTTCAGTTCACTCCCTATGTATCTTTATTTCTTCTATATATTTTAATCAAATATACATTTTGAAGGTCTTTTGTCATTATTATTATTACTACCCACTAATTTAATCTTGTTGACTTACACAAATTGGGACTTATAGGCATGACAAAAATATTTAGCATCATGATTTTATAGCAAACCAATCTGAATTAAATTTGTAATAATAATTGAGTGATTAAGCGCTATATAATTTGATGCATTTTTCTTATTTTTTTTCCAGATAAAGACATAGCATGGCAAGCATTGCATCAAATAAATGGATATAAACTTCATGGGAAAATATTGGTGATAGAGTTTGGAAAGAACAAACAGCAACAGCCAGCTGTCCAGGGTGCTTCCCTTATAACATCTGCTACAGATAGCAGTGCAGAAATCAGTGGTAGCTAGAATACATATCGACACACGTACATACACATTTGGATATATGTATGTGTATAAACACACACTCCTATCTTTCTTTTATCGTAATCTAAAATCTAGGATATGTATATACATAGAAATTTGTTTTTAAAGTGAAGAGGAAATATTAGAAAGACAGTAATTAGGACAATGGCTTTCCACATTTAAAGAGAATTGTTAGAAAAATTTTCCATAATTAAATACTGTATAATCTAGAAAATGACAATATAAAATTGACACTATCCTGAGTATTAAAGATAATAATCATGCACTATATAGGGCAGAAAGTACCCTGAGCATTAAGATCATAGAAAACCTTTAATTCTCAGGGTAAGTTACATTATTGTTCCTGATGATTCTTTAATATTTTTGCAGTCTTCAATGTTTAGTCCTAGAGATAATACTTTTTCTGAGACTGTTTCCTGTATACAAAGATTTGAAACTAATTCAATGTTAAAATATTTATTTACTAGAACTCATTGTGTTTTGTCAGAACTTTGAACAGTTATAGTAGGGAGATTCATGAGTTGATCAACATATTTAATGATTGCTTACACTGAGTTTTCACAGTCCTCGAAAAGATATATATTATATATATATATCTATATATATTATATATACATATAATGCTGGCTTCTTTTAAGCCAAAATATTGGTAATCTCATGATACTATTGAATTCAAAACAATAGACATTAAACATGGAGTAACTGCCTAATATATATTAAACATTAGGTATATGAACTTTCAAGAGGGAACAAACTAGCAGAGAATACTAAAGAGACAGGAAAGAAAGTTCTATACTTTAGAAGAAATGCATCCTGCCTCAAACCCCTAGTGATTTGTTTATAGTTGTTGAAGAATAGGAACACAATGTGGTATAGACTAGGTAGTACCAACTTTGGAGTCAGACCTGTGATCCTCATAGTCACACATGTTTACCAACTTAACTTCAAAAGCCACTTAATCTGAGCCTCATTGATCTCATCTATACAGTAGAGTAATATTGCTCCTTACCTCACTGAGGAAGGGTTAAATGAGATTATACCATCCAAGGGGAAAAAGTGAAGGAAATGTAGGAAACTCCACTAAGCACATCAAACAATAGATAATAAGAATTCCATTTAAAAAGGGAGAAAGGTGCATAAATACCGCAAGACAGCCAGGTGGTGGTGCCGCAAGCCTTTAATCCCAGCATTTGGGAGGCAGAGGCAGGTGGATCTCTGTGAGTTCAAGGCCAGCCTGGTCTACAAAGTGAGTTGCAGGACAGCCAGGACTGTTATACATACAAACCCTATCTCAAAAAAAAAAAAAATACTGCAAGAGGACCATGGCTTAGTAAGTAAAGACACTCACCACCAAGCATGAAGACCTGAGTTCAAACCCTAGGACCTACATGAGAGAAGGAGAGAAACAATTCCAGTAAGTTATCCCTGATTTCCGGAAATATGCTATGGCAAGTGTGCTCCCACATACATATATACAAAATTACACATAAATATTAAAAAAACTCTTCAGAAATAGCGGCTACAAATATTTCAAATTGAGTGACAAAGCCATGCAGTTACATTATAATAAAATACTGAAAATTCAAGAGACAGAGAAAATCATGAAAATAACCCAAGAAAACTGAAATATTATTTGTCATGGGTCTCTAGATTACCAACTAACTTCTTATCAGAAATGGGTATTTCTGATAAATGGCACATTCTTGTATTTACAGCTATTCAGGAGGCCGAGGCGGGGGGAATCAGTGGAGCCTGATTCAAAACCAGCCTGTGTAAAGAGAAGTGAAATCCTGTTTCAAAAACGAAAACCAAGAAAAAGTGACATAGTTAAGATCTCAGAAACAGTGGAGGTGGCCGTGAAAGGTAAAATACCTCCCACATACTTTTTAAAAGCTGGAGAATTTGTTGCCAGAAGATCACACAAGACATGCAAGAGGACCGTTGTCAAGCTGAAAAGCAAGTGACCTTAGAGAAAAATTTAAATCTATACATAAAACAGACAAACGTGATTGTGTGTGACTATAAAAGACAACCTTGAATACTTTTTTCTTTATCTGTTAACGAATTTATTTACTTACTTTTGGTTTTTGGAGACAGCATTTCTCTGTGTAGTCCTGATTGTCCTGGAACTTACTGTATAGACCAGACTGGGTTCAAACTCAGAGGTTCACCTGCCTCTGCCTCCCAAGTGCTAAGATTTTGTTAACTAATGTTTAAAAGTTGTATTAAGTTGTATATAGTTGCATTGTATCTCCTATAACAAAAAAGTCAATGCATTTGCCAGTAACAGACGAAGATCAGAAATAATGCTTATTTTACTAAAAAATAGCAGAAATCCATAGGAACAAATAAAACAAAGGAGTTAAAATATGGCTAATTTTATAAAACAGTAAATAATTCAGCATCTTAAAAACTACCATCATTGTTTTAAGTGATAACCTTAATATATTGCTAAGCCTGTAACATATAGAAATAGCTAGCGTGCCCCAAATTCGGAGGAAAGGGGAACAAAAATATCAACTAGAGATAAAGATCTGTAGTTTTTGTTAAAACGGTCAATGTTTTAAGATGTAAACATTTTAATTACATATTTTCATAACAACAGAGACCCAAAATAACCTGAAACAGGGCAGGAAAGGAAAGAATGGAGAAATCGACAAGTCTCTGAAAAGCTGAAATACTCAGTGTTTCCTTTCTACTGAAAGTAGTGCTACACAAGTGATAAACAAAGAGGTAGAATACTTGTGAACTGAATAGATCTGAAAAGCAGCTATAGAACATTCTACCCTACAACACTAGTAGATAGATCGTTATCCCATGCCTATGAAATGTCTTCAGGCTAGATCATGAGCTAAACCACAAAACAGGCCTTAAAAAATCCAGATAAACTGAAGTGATGTAAAGCATGTCCTCTGACCACCTGGAAAGAGGTTAGAAATCAGTAACAAGAAATTGGGAAACTCTCAAATGTGGAAATTAGTCACACTTAAGTAGAAAGTAGGTCAATAAAGAAACACAAAAGGAGGGCTGGAGAAATGGCTCTGTGGTAAGATTGCTTGCCTGCTCTTGTAGAGGCCTGAGTTTGAGTCTCAGTACCCACATCAGGTGGCTCATAGCTACCTTTGTCTATGTAGAAAATGTTTAGAGATAAGCCTAATTAAAGAGAAAAAAGATCATATAGCAGTCATTCAGTTTATATCTTAAGCTGTAGGAAAAGAATAGCAAACTATACCTAAAACAAAAAAGCATGCAAGATAAATGAGAGAATAAAATACAATTAAGAAAAGGCAATTAATCTAAGCAAGAAATTGGCAAACCTTTTACTAGATATCACAGGAAAAGGTAGACTAATTATTAGAACGAGAAAGGAGGGGGTAGTGCTACTGATCTTTGGGAAATAGAAGGTATATAATGGAATAGTGTTATACTTGTGTGTCGATAAATTGACCTACCCAAAATGAATAAATTTCTAGAAAGATAAGTGCCAACAACAAAATAAAGGAAGTCAGAATAGGAATAATAACTAGTAAGAGAGATACCCTCAAGGAAAAGTCCAGACTTAAATTGCATTTTATTTGCGTTCTACTAAATGTTTAATGAGACAGTAATCCAATTTCTTCACAAGCTGTTTTTTTTGTTTTTGTTTTTAAGGGACCTCTTCTGAGATACACTACTACAACATGGAAGAACCCTGAGAATATGTTCAGTGAAAGAAGCCAGTCACTGCTGAAGGAAAATTGTAGGACTCAATGTAGATGTAGATGAAGTATCCCGAATTGGTGTCACACACACACACACACACACACACAGAGAGAGAGAGAGAGAGAGAGAGAGAGAGAGAGAGAGAGAGAGAGAGAGAGATAAAGGGTATGTAGGGATAACTAGAGTGGATGGGAATTCTTTGCAAGTAGATGAAAATGTTCATAAATTTCATTAATACTTGTATAGCGATGAATATACCAAGTGGATGAATTTTGTGGCATATGAATCTCAGTGAAACTCACAAAAATAGGAACTTGGACATTATCCAAATGTCCATCTGTCAACACGAATGACTTATGGCACATCTATTTAGTGGGATACTATGAAGCCATTAAAACAGTGGACTCGATCTATGAATATATTGTGACTTATACCAAGTTTTTATATTAAGTTATAAACTAAGATGTATGTATGTATAGTAAGGATACATTTTTAAGCAAATAGTTCGTGTGTATAGTTTGTAGAGATAATTTCAAAATCAATGTAGGAAAGAAATAAGGAATGTGTATAACAAGCTGTAAACCTTCTGGAAGTGGGACTGTACAAGCTGAAAAGACACCTTCACCTTGTGTTGTGGTTTGGAGTGGTTTTTACCTTTTTCAATATTTTTTAAATTAAAATAATTTTTAAATATTCTTACAAACACTTAGCTTCCAGAATATTTGTCAGAGCCACTCTGACGATTTCTGACTTCACTCAGGACAAACTTCTATTCATTTGCTATATTGCTCACATGATTAATGCTCCAATTTTTGATAACGTGTAAGGGATGAGAAGTAAAGGACCCTGGTTACAGCTTCTTGCACAGTTACCCAGGGATGTACTTCTCAGCCAGGATTCCCAGAAGGGACTCCTTCGTCTTAGGTGGAAAACCTTACCTCCTCCTTACTAGATCTACAGACCACATCCAAATGGAGAAAACTAAACTGGAAGATACCTTTCAACTGGTGCAGAGATATAGAAACTGGTGTGTCCAGATGATGAAATTCTACTCAGCAATAAAAACTAAGGAACCACATATGCAACAACTTGGATAAATCTTAAATGTATTTTGCTAAGTAGAAGAAGCCAGACTCAAATGGCTGCTTACTGTTATATTTCATTTGTGTGTTTTCTGGAAAAGGTGAAGCAATAAGGCAGAAAAACCAGGAGATACCAAGTGTTGGCACAAGGGATTTTTTTTAGTAATGGGAACTTTATGTTGTTTATAGTTAAAATGTGTATGTGTTTGTTAAACTCAGAGAATTATACACCAAAAAGAATGAATCTTAATGTATGATTTTAAAAAAAAATAAAAGTAATTTTAATGAAACAAAGATCTGCAAAGACAATCATTTCCATTAACTATTGTAAGCATTGTGTGATCTCTGATCTACAGAAAACCCAAAGTCACTTTATTTCCTTTTTGTTTCTATTAGGTGAGCCGAAGCCACTAAATCCAAATCTCTTTATTACTTACATTTCTATTGCTGTGATAAACACCATAGCCAAGGTAATTTATAGAAGGAAGGTTCTATTTGGGTCTTACAGTTCAGAGAGGAGTCCATCACTGTTGTGGCAGGAAGCATGGCAGCAGGCCATGTCAGAAGGCATAGCACTGAAACAGTAGCTGAGAGCTCACATACTGATCGCAGACAGGAAGCAAAGAGGCACACTGGGAATGGTGCGAGTCTTTTGAAACCTCAAAGCCTATTCCTAGTGCAGCAATCTTCCAATAAGGCCACACTTTCTAATAGTTCCCTAATAGGTTCACCAACTAGGGATCAAGTATTCAAACATATGAGCCTATGGCGCCAATCTCATTCAAACCACCACAATTCTATAGCTAGAGATACAACTCATTAGTATTACACTTTGTTTAGCATGCATGAGGCCCTAGGTTCAACCCCCAGTACTACCTAAAATTAAAAATGTAAAAATCTGACCCAGATAGAGTAGTGTATGCACTCAGGACCAAACAACAGGAAGCTTACTGACAAAGACTAAGCTGAGCTATGCAGTGAGTTCCAAGCCAGCCTATGCTACAAGTAAGAACTTTTTTTTTAAAGAATCTGTATATGTATATATAATTTTGCCATTAAAAAACTAAGAAATCTATTTGTTGCTCCAAGTGCTAATATCCTTCACATACAATATTGATTTTAGTAAGAGTCACTAAATAGTACCAAACGTTTGGTCTACTAGATTTTGATTTTTCTCCTATATTCCCTGCAGCATTGCCACATAGTACCAAAGTTAATGTGTGCCTCCACTTTGTGGGCTGGTGCCTCTTTAGCAGCACTCTTTGTACCCTCTGGAGCCAGTTAAGATGAGGCTTACTTAAACATGAGTGCCGCGATGAGCTGATAGCTGAGGTGACTAGTAAAAGAATAGGTGTAGTACAGACACCCTGGACAAAGGATCAGATCACATCCCTGGTATGATATGGGCAGAGTGGAGTAGAGCAGTGGTTCTCAACCTTCCTAATGCTACAGCACCTTAATACAGTTCCTCATGTTGTGGTGACCCCCAAACAAAGTTATTTTGTTGCTACTTCATAACTAATTTTGCTGTTGTCATGAATCAGAATATAAATATCTCATATGCAGGATATCTGATATGTGACCCCCAATGGGGTCATGACCCACAGGTTGAGAATCTCTGGAGTAGACTGTCAGGAGGTTTCATCACACTATTCAGAAGAGGATATAGTTTAAATGTATGTGTCTTGTATTTCCAGGCTTTTCCATCTCATATTTTTGGACCTTGTTGACTGCTGATAACTGTAACCATGAAAACAAACTGAGAAGGGAGAGCTTCTGCATTAAGGCAAGCCTTTTGTTTCCATAACAACCCATACCTGAGATAAACAGTTTAAAGAAAGGTTAATAGACACATTTTGAATGGGTGTGTATAGTAAATAAATATGCCAATTTGAGTGTCCACAACATACAGATTTATAAAATCTGCAAGTTGTGTCTATCCATGTCTCTCTCTGTCTCTTGCCCACCTGCCATGTGTCTCCCTGCCTGGGACCAGCCACTGCTCAGGGAGAGAAGTGGAGGCAGAGGCAGGTAGATTTCTGAGTTCAAGGTCAGCCTGGTCCACAGAGTAGGTTCCAGGGCAGCTAGGTCAACACAGAGAAACCTCTCAAAACAAACAAACGAATAAAAAACTTCATTGAGATCCAGTCTCATTCCAGTAAGAATGGTTATTAGTTGGTAACAAATACTGATGAGAATAGAACAAGGAAGAGTCCTTAGATATTGCTTGTGAGAATATAAACAGCCATTATGTAAATAATAAGTATGGACATTTCTTAAAAATTAAAAATAGAACTACCATATGACCCAGCTATATTCTTGGATGTGTACCCAAAAACTCTTAAGTCAGCTTAAAATAGAAATGTCTGCATATCTGTTTATTAATGTTCTCTTCCCAATAGACAGCAAATGGAACCAATATAGATGTTCATAAACAGATGAATGCAGAAAGAAAATGTACAGTATACACAGTGTATGAGTTTTGTGTAATATTTGTTTATGCAAAAATGAATTGCCTTGTTTAACTTTGTAAAGATGAGTTGCATTTGTTTATGTAGAAGAATATTTCTTTGACTATGTAAAGATGTGTTGCATTTGTTTAATTATGTAAAGATGTACATAGTTGTTGTTTTACCTTGCCTCTAAGGTACCTGATTGGTGTAATAAAAATCTGAAATGCCAATAGCAAAGAAGGAAGACTTTCAGGGCAGGGAGAGTAAGTAGGAGGAGGAATTTAGGCTTGGGAAGACAGAAAAAGTAATGCCAGGGAAACACCAGGGACCAGACAGATATACAGACATGGAGGAAGCAGGAAAGTAGGACATACAGAATGAAAGAAAGGTAAAAACCCCCAAGGCAAAGTTTACATGAATAGAAACAGGTTAAATTAAGTTAAAAGAGCTAGTGGAATATGTTGTATGAGGAGTGGCAGGGCTGCGTCCCTGCCACCCTGGCTCCCGGCCGCCTGGCTAGCTTATGCCACGAAATAATTACATGGAAACTGTATTCTTTTAAACACTGCTTGGACCATTAGTTTTAACCTCTTATTGGCTAGCTCTTACATATTGATTTAACCCATTTCTAATATTCTGTGTAGCATCACGAGCTGGCTTACCAGGAAAGATTCTAACCTGCATCTGTCTGGAGAGGGAGAATCATGGCGACTGCCTGACTCGGCTTCTTTCTCTCAGCATTCTGTTCTGTCTATTTTGCCTACCTAATTTTCTGTCCTATCAAAGGGCCAAGGCAGTTTCTTTATTTAACCAATGAAATCAACACAAAACAGAAGACTCCCCATCAGGAATAAGCCTAAGCTAAGACTGGGCATCCATATTAATAAAAGATTCCATGTGTCTTATTTGTGAGCTGGTTGGTGGATCAAAGAAAATTCAACTCCTCTCTCTCTCTCTCTCTCTCTCTCTCTCTGTGTGTGTGTGTGTGTGTGTGTGTGTGTGTGTGTGTGTGTATAATGCAAACACGGGTTTGCATCATGAAAGAGAGTGAAAAGATCCTTAAGGGAGGAAGAACGGGTAATGAATGAAATGAATATATTTCACATAAAAGCATAAAGGCAAATTGTGACAGGGAATGAAGTGAACCATCAGGGCAGGCGGGGGCCATGGCAGGTTTACTGATTTCCACTATTCTGATGAAGTTATTTCTGACAGATCTGTGTTGGATGGGTTATTTGTTTATCTTTTAATATTTTCATGGAATTGGTTATTTAGAGCTATCTCTTCTGACATTTCAAAAGCTCATATCTGAATGAGTCCTCCTTGATATTTCTTGACTGAATGAATGATAACTGATGTATTTGTCTGCAAATAATTTTATTTCACACTCATATTGAAAGATAATTTGCATAGGTATAGGTTGCATTTTATTTCTCTTGGTTCTTTAAATACGCTGTTCCTCACTCTTGTAGCTTGCATTGTTTTCCATGAAAAATGCACTGCCATGCTTATCTTTGTTCCTTTGGAAATAATGTGCCTGTGTGTAATGTGATCTCTAGAGGGCTGCTTTTAAGTTTTTTACATTTATCACTGGTTTTAAGCAGTTAAAGATATGTCTTGGTGTATTTCTCTTCATATTTCATGTGTTTGAGATTCATCGAGCTTTTGAGATTTGTAGATTTATAAATTTGTCATCATATAGTTTCTGTGATTCTTTCAACATTTTTCTGTTCTCGCATTGAACTCTGTTTTAGGCTGCTTTAAGCTGTCCACATGATACTTCAGAAATTTTTCACCCATCTTTTTCTGTATTTCAGTAGGGATTCTTCTTTTGCTGTCTTCACATTTGCTAATCTGTCTGCTGCAATATGTATTCTAGTGTTATTCATATTTAGGGGTATTTTTCATATCAGAATTTTTTTTAAATTTTACTTTTAGTCTTCTACATATCATATCATGTTCAAATGTTTCTCTATCTTTTTGGAAAACAGAATAGTTTTATGTTTTAATGTTTATACTTAATAATTATCTCATTGGTTTCTTTGTGTATTTTAAATGCTTCATTTTTTTATTTATTTAAACTGTTTTTTCCAAATTTCCACTCCCTCCCCTTCTCCCACTCCCCTCCCTATTTCTTCACAGACGCTCCTACCCCACCCCCTCCAATCCTAAGAGAGGGCCATGCACCCACCCTATGAAAGTCCCAGGCCCTTCCTACTACATCTAGGTTAAGCAAGGTTTACATCCATAGGGAATAGGTTTAACACCCGGTTTTGGTGTTACACCCTTGGTACAGTTCGCGCGCAGCTGTACCGAATGCGAGTCCGGGCAAGGGCCTGGAGATTGAACACAAGAGACAGAGACCAGGGTCATTCGATAGGAGATCAAGCGAATGCCGTTTATTCAGACTTGGGGAAGCCCTTTTCTACCTAACTGCAGCACAAAGATCTCACCACCCAGGGAGGTGGGAAATAAACATACAGGAAACTTAAGTTAACAATGGAGAAGATTGCCTGCAGCTAAATCACCAGGTGGGGCAGGGATAGCACGGAAACACACAGGAAGCTTAGTTAACAAATAACAAACTGTCCCTGCCAATGCACCCCAGGAGTAAGGGAGACCAGGGGCCCACAAATAGGATCCCAAGAAGCCGGTCCATGCAGTAGAGACAAATCCCAGTGTCACTCTCAGTCTGCCCCAACTTTCAACCCTCTTCAAAGGGGCTTGGTTGTTCCCATGCTTGTTCACTCCCAGTCCAGTTGGAGTTGGTGAGCCCCTTTAGCTCAAACAAACTGTCTCAGTGGATGAATCCCTCATGGTCTTGACTTCCTTGCTCATATTCTCACTCCTTC